TCCCATGGGTGCTGGTTATCCTCCTTAGGAGCACCCATGGGTGCTGGGGTCCTTTCCAGGAGCACCCATGGGTGCTGAGGTCCCCCCTAGGAGCACCCACGGGTGCTGGGGAGGTCCCGAGAGCTCCCCTGGGTGCTGGTGATCCTCCTTAGGAGCACCCATGGGTGCTGAGGACACTCTTTAGGAGCACCCATGGGTGCTGAGGTCCTCCCTAGGAGCATCCATGGGTGCTGGGGTTCTCCTCAGAGCACCCATGGGTGGGGGTTGCCCTGGGTCCTTTCCAGGAGCACCCATGGGTGCTGGGGCCCTTCCTGGTAGCACCCACTAGTGGAGGTTGCCCACCTACTGGGGTCCTTCAAGAGCACCCATGGGTGCTGGAGTGTTTCCTGGCAGCACCCATGGGTGGGTGGGGGTTTGCCCAGATGCCTGGGTCCTTCCTTAGGTGCACCCATGGGTGCTGGGGTCCTTCCTGAGAGCACCCATAGGTGGGGTTCACTCAGATGCCAGGGTCCTTCCTGGGAGCACCCATGGGTGCCAAGGAGCTTCCACGGGGCACCCATGGCTAGGGGTAACCCAGATGCTGGGGTCTTTCGTTAATAGCACCCATGGGTGCTGAGGTCCTTCTTCCGGCGCACCCATGGGTGGGGGCTGCCCGGATGCCTGGGTTCTTCATTAAGAGCACCCATGGGTGCTGGGGTCCTTCCTGAGAACACCCATGGGTGCTCGTCACCTGGATAACTGGGTTCTTCGTACAAGAGCACCCATGGGTGCGGGGGGTCCTTCCTGAGAGCACCCATGGGTGCTGAGGTGCTTCGGGTGCTGACGTCCTTCCTGGGAACACCCACGAGTGGGGGTCACCCGGCTGCCTGCGTTTTTCCTTACGAGCACCCATGGGTGCTGGGTCCTTTCCAGGAGCACCCATGGGTGCTGCCGTTGCCTGGATGCCTGGGTTCTTCGTTAAGAGCACCCATGGGTGGTGAGATCTTCCCCAGGAGCACCCATGGGTGCTGCGATCCCTCCTGGGAACACCCATGGCTGGGGGTCGCCTGGATCCTTCCTGGGAGCACCCATGGGTGCTGAAGTCCTCTCCAGAAGCACCCATGGATGCCAGGGTTGCCCGGATGCCTTGGTTCTTCATTAAGAGCACCTATGGGTGCTGAGATACTCCCTAGGAGCACCCATGGGTGCTGGGCTCCTCCCCAGGAGCACCCACGACCGGACGTCACCTGGACTCTTCCTTGGGAGCACCCATGGGTGCTGAGATGGGTGCTGGGGTCCCTCCTGGGAACACCCATGGGTGGAAGTCACCCACATAGCTGCTGGGTTCTTCGTTAAGAGCACCCACGGGTGCTGGAGTGTTTCCTGACAGCACCCATGGGTGGGGGTTGCCCAGATGCCCGAGTTCTTCTTTCCAGGAGCACCCATGGGTGCTGAGGCGCTTTCCAGGAGCACGCATGGCTGGGGGGGGGTGTGTGTTGTCGCCTGGATCCTTCCTCAGGAGCACCCATGGGTGCTGGGTCCTTTCGGGGAGCACCCATGGGTGCTGAGGTCCTTTCCGGGAGCACCCATGGGTGCTGGGTTTGCTTGGCTTCTTCCTTAGGAGCACCCATGGGTGGCAGTTGTCTAGATCCTTCCTCAGGAGCACCCATGGGTGCTGGGTCCTTACCGGGAGCACCCATGGGTGCTGACGTCCTTTCCAGGAGCACCCATGGGTGCTGAGTCCTTTCCAGGAGCACCCATGGGTGCTGCGGTCCTTTCCGGGAGCACCCATGGGTGCTGAGGTTCTTTCCGGGAGCACCCATGGGTGCTGACGTCCTTTCCAGGAGCACCCATGGGTGCTGAGGTCCTTTCCGGGAGCACCCATGGGTGCTGA